CTGTCTAGGAGCTGTCAGCCAAGGCCGGGAGGGGCTTTGGGAAGCCACATGCACCCGCTAGGGCTAGCAGCGTGGGCCTGGAGCTAAGGCAGAGAGACAAGGAGGGCCAGACCAAAGGAGGAGGTGGGGGTCTGAGATGAGGACAGCGCTCAGAGACTGAGAGCTGATGATCTGGAGATAGCCCCTCTGCCATCAGGACACTCCCTGGCCCACAACCTTCCCCTTTCTGTGACTGGACCCTGGACTCTCAACTCCTTTGCATACTGTGCCCCCACTTCCTGGGCCAGTCCATGGGGAGGGAGCAGTGGACAACCTGTGGGACCTTGTGGCAGAGCTGCCGTGCCGTCTCCATGGAAGAAGCTGTGGGCTGTGCTGCCACCAGAGGTCTGCCACTTAGAAGCTGATGGCTCCACCCGCCCCTGCCTGCCTGGCCCAGGGACAGTCTCCTGGGCAACACTGCGCTCTGACCAGCAGTCAGGACTGACCCAGGCTGTGCAAGTGTCCTCCTCCTGCCAGTCTGGCGGGTCTGTTCCCTGCAGAGTATCCCTGAGACCCAGACAACTTCCACCCATGTCCCTTTGTCACCCTGACTCTGCACAGCCACCTTGAGGGTTTGTGTGCCAAGGAACCACCACCCTCGCCAGCTAGGCATTCATTCTGCCCTGTGTGGGGTGGGCTCGGTGCCATGTAGCATATGTCTGTGTGTGTCTGTTGTAGGTACCAGGTAGGGACGCTGCTCCAGCCCCTCCGAGAGTCAGAAGCCTCCAAGAGTCATTCATTCACTGAACACCCACCAGGTGTTCTATAAGCACCTACTGTGCTTTGACACAGGGTTCAGTTCTGTATGAATCTCGGCTGTCATTTACTTACTGTGTGCCCTTAGCCAAGTCACTTTCCTTCTCTGAGCTTCCGGTACCTAATCATTAAATGGGGACAACAATACTTAGCTCATATGGGTTTCTTGGAGACTCAAAAGAGAAAATAGATCAAAAGCACCTATCACAGGACTTGGTACAAAGTGGGGATGTTTGATAGTGTTTGCTTTCCTTCCTCCCATCTCACACCTCCTTCTGCAAATCTTGCTGGGCTCTGGGGATGCCAAGAGGGAAACAGGACTCCTGGTCACAAGGAGTTCATGGTCCCATGGGTGAGGCTGAGCTTCAGAGAGACCATAATGGTGCCTGACAGACAGGGCTCCGCCAAGGTGGTGCTGAATGCTGAGCGACACGAGTGAGGAGCTCATAATATGGGTACCCCACGTCGACCATGCCTTCTTTAGCCTTTCAACTGAAGCGTATACGCAAAACTGGCTGTGTCAGCAAGAGCTGATTCCAGCATCTTCTTGGTTTGAATTAGGAAGAGGTTGAGTACTTTCAGATTTCTACAAATACTAATATATGCCTCCCATCTGCCTTTTCCACACCACTAGGAACCAGGAAGTTTTTCTTTTCTTTTTCTTTTTTTTTTTTT